GACTTTGCTCTTCGGACACTAAAATTAACCTCGAATTTAACCATGTTATGATTACTACCGTACAATGGTTCTAAAACTTCTAATTTTCCAACCCTATCCTGGTTATTACAGAAAACAAGATCAAGAAGGGCTTCTCCCCTGGTAAGAGTACTAACAAACTGAGTAAAAAAACAATCCTGTACTAATTCCACCATCTCAAGTTCATTTACAGAAGAGCCAGAGACTGTGTCCCACTGTATCCCAGGTAAATTAAAATCACCCATAACCACCACATCATTTTTATTACTCATAATCCTGATATCATCATATAACATTCCGCTTTCATCTGCAGCTACACTAGGTGCTAAATAACAAACCCCGACAATTAGGCTATTTGAGTTTTTAGCATCTAGTTTTATCCATACAGCTTCTGTACTTTTATTTCCAGGGTCCACTTTTAAAATTTATTGGGGCTTTTTGTCTCTCCCCACCTAAATTCTTAACTAACCTCCCTGCCCCCCCAGTCCCTAGTTTAAACATTCCTCAACTACTATACACATACGCCTCCCCAATACACTGGTTCCCCTATGGTTCAGATGCAACCCGTCCGGCTTGAACAGGTCCCACCTGTTCCAGAAGGTCTTCCAGTGCTCCATAAACCTGAACCCCTCTTTCCTACATCACCATTGTAGCCACGCATTTAATCCCCTTATCTCAGCTAACTTAGCCTGACTTGCACGTGGCACGGGAAGTATTCCAGAGAATACCACCGTGGATGTTCTGCTTCTAAGCTTATTGGCGACTTCTATAAATTTATCCTGCAGAACAGCCCTCCTGCCCTTTCCTATGTCATTGGTGCCAACATGCACCACGACCACTGGATCCACCCTGGCTGGGGCCAAAAGCCTGTCCACTCGATATGGAAGGTCCCCTACCTGGGCACCAGGCAGGCAAGACACCGTACGGGACCCTCTATCACGGGTGCACACATACCTATCTACACCTCTAGTAACTGAATCACCCTACTACCACAACCTCCCTCCTACTGGGGTTAGGTGGCTCCTTGGTGCCCAAGGGCCCACCAGCCTCCCCAGTCTCTTCCGGCTCTAAAGCTGGAAGCACCTGAAAGCGGTTAGACACCGTTACTTCAGGTGATGCTGCCCCTGTGAATTGTGTACGCCCTTTTCTACGTCTACGACCTACGTTCACCCAGCTCTCTCGACCTACCTGTTCATCATTCTCCCCCCTCCCCGCTTGTGATGTACACACAGTCTCCCTAAAAGGCGTATTAACTCTCTCCTTTAACTCATTGTTATGTTGGATGAGAGCCAGTTGCTCCTCGAGGTCACAAACCTAGACCCTGAGTGAGTCCACTAACTTACATCGCTCGCAGACGAAGTCCGACTGGACACAAGCATCCAGAAGGGCAAACATCTTGCAAACACAACACTGAGCTGGCCCCATAATTACCTAACTTACTATGACCCCGTCCTTTACTCCCAGCCCAGTATATTAATATAGCGTATTTAAACTTTTAGTTGATCTAATTAACGTATAGTTAAAACAATAAAGTGCCAAGTACAATAAAACACTAAACTAACACTTGCGTTGAAACTGAACTTTTTAAAAATTATCCGTCAGCGATAGCAACCTTGGAAATTAAACTTTTAAAATAACCAAATTAACAATTACCTTACCCAAGACTAACTTCCTACTGAACCACGTTTAGCTAAACTAAAGCGAAGTTGCTCTTGGGAGGCCGAAAAACCACAAAAAAAACTACTACAGGCTACTGAATGGGGAAAAAAAAGTTGAAAATGTCCTCCCGGCCCCGACCGGCGACCAAGCAAAGCTCAGGAGCAACTGTCCTTTCCGAGTTAATTTTACCGACATTAGATAATATTACGCTGTGGGTGTTTGATGCGAAGGTACACAGACAGAAACGCCGCTCGCGCAACACCTGCAGCCATCGATAACACTCACGCTGTCAATTAACAAGGACAGACAGGTACTCACGTAGACCGAGAAAAAATAAATAAAAATAAAAGTAAAAAATGTAACAACAAAAACCCACGTAACCGTACTGGCACACAAACACTCAAATACACTTCCAAATAATTCCAGTCAACCGCTTCAACAGGCACACAACACAACACAAGTACACACAGCATCTACACCACTCCCGCACAGTGCAGCAATCCCAGCAGCCTCTACAGCAATCCCAGCCTATTAAATTAGTTGTATTTTTTGTTCAGTACACAAAACACACAAACATCCAACACGGAGGCAGGGATACTTGAAATGTAGTTGAAATCAGAACAAATGAACTGAAATAACTGGACTGATAGAACATGTACTGGTGTAATGATGTAGTGGAGAATTCACTGATAAAATCACCCCAAATTTCCAGAAGTGAATAAAATGAGAGAACCGTGGGCAGTGAGTTACTGGAATTAGCGCAGTATTTTAGGTCCTGATTGAGACATTTCATTCACTCAGTCACGGCACGAGTCACTGAGGATCAGCGGGTTTTGTTAAAGTTAGCAGGTGAACTATTCAATCCTTAGTTCAATTCCCAGTTTCCTACCTGGGGAGATCAGCTATTTTTAGGATCTCGCTTCCATCAGCAATGGGGTTTCTGGACAGATCCAGCACAGTCAGGGAGTGTAAGACACTGACTGGCCTGCAAATAAAAAACAAGGTCACCAAGGGTATATAGCATGGTACAGTGTTCAGTATAGCATGCTTACTCTCCAAAATCTTACTTTTGCAGTTCGGTGATGCAGTTGTCACTAACGTACATCTCTTCCAGGAATGGCCACATGGGGGCACACTGCAGAACCTGCATTGGGGTCGATAAACTGTGTGATTTTCTATCGATGTAATCCGACACAAACATTTACTCAGGCATCAGAAGTCAAATAACATATTTTGAAATAACGTTAGGGTGCTCAAATTAGCAGGTAACAAAAATGATTACAGACTACAAACTAAACAGAGAAAAAAATTCCAAAATCCAAGCAGGACAAAGAATATAAAAGTAAGGTTTGAACAATACCCCAAAAAGTATTTACTGGTCAGATGTGCATATAAAGAACAAATTAAGACACGAGGAATGACTTTCAGTTAAATCATCACCAGTCTGCCAGGATCTATCATTGACTTTTTCTGTGTGTGCATCCATATTTATTACATTTTAAAAGAAGCTAATCCTCAGCAGCCTGCTTCTATTCCAACATTCACCCTTTACCTCTAACTCTCTTTCCAATTACCTTAATTTAGAAATGTCCTCAAAAATATATATATTTAAAAACTCTGAGAGATTTTCCACTGTATGGGCTCATCTCCTTACGGTGTCTTAGGGTTAACCTCTATAACAGGGGTCTCCAACTCCGGTCCAGGAGAGCTACCGTCCAGTAGGTTTTCTATCCTACTTGGCTTCTGATGAGCCACACCTGTTCTCAGGTAAATACCAGGAGCAGGTGTGGCTCATCAGAAGCCAAGTAGGAAAGAAAACCTACTGGATAGTAGCTCTCCCGGACTGGAGTTGGAGACCCCTGCTCTATAAAGTAAAGGGCCACAGAATAGCAGACAACTGCACAATGCAAACACAGTGATGTCAGTTCCCACCTCTAGCCAAGAGATGGCACTGCCTTTAAGATCAAGGACTTTCAGGCTGGCAAACGCAGGAGCCAGGCTGTGGGGGTCGGCAGGGAGACTCAGTCTGTTTTCACTAAGGGCAAGATAGAGACGTGGACCCAACACAATCAGGGCATTTTTATAGCATGAAACAACAACGTACTAACCACCACAACTGCTGGTGACTGGATGTTTTCACATGATAAAAGCATCTAGAAGGTAGACACATGTAAAGGTGTCTATTAAAATAGAAAAACTAGCCAAGTTATCGGAGACACTTTACTTAAAGCAGTCATCATAATGTATTATAATCATTCATTAAGTATTATAAAATAAATGCCTATAAATGTTTATAAAAAAAAGCATAACACATTATAGCCATGTTTATTATGCATTATGAATGCTCTATGAAGCTCTCATCTATAATGCACTATAGATACCTGCATAATGCATTATAGAGGTGAGGATGTTTTGTACTGATTTATGAAGGTATTTATAGTGCACTACAGATGAAAGCTTCATAAACCATTCATAATTCCCATATTACCCAGTTTGTTACTGGCAGACACAGGAGTTCTAAGAGATATACTAGCACACAAAAATGGTGATGATTCTGCAAGTTCATGCGAAGGCCACACATTTACAGCAGAGAGTTAAGTGGGGCCGCTCTGCTCTGCTCACCCCAGCCGAAGCTCCTGGAGACGCTGAAGCTGGCGGGTGATACCAGCCACGTCCTCCCAGCAGCAGAGCAGGTTGCCAGACAGGTCCAGCGACAGCACGTCTGAGTTTGCCTGTTAGGGGCTGAACACTAACCCTGAAAACACAGCTGTACCTCTGAAGTTACCAAAACCACTCAGACCCAACTTCCATCTAAGGGCTGAAGTAGGGCAGGTATGTTGGCTGTGACTGCCCTGAAACACTCTCATCCTGGGGAATATACATCAGTGTACATCATTAACTACATAGTTTATATTTGAATAGTGATGAACATGTTATAATTGTATATATCTACCTTGCCGTGTGCAGTGGATTTTTTAAGTGTGCATTTCTTTGCACTTTAAATATTTTAAATCAGTGTTTCTCATCCCTGTTCTCTGAGACCACCAGGCAATCCATATTTTTGCTCCCAGTTCCCAACACTTGGGGAACCAGGTTTTAGGTGTTTCTGATTGTTTGTGAACTGGGACAGGGTAAAAATATGGACTGGGGGTCTCTGAGGACTGGAATGAGAAAAACTAAAGAAATAACAGGATTTATCTGAGTGGTGGCATACAGATTCAGCATAGACACACTGGACTGACTGGGTTGAACTGGCCAGGAAAATAAAGGATACTGGGTGTCATTTCTCTGATTTCATTCTCTGGACCAGGACCACAGACCTCGCAGCATCTGAGTGACACTGCCGTGACATTTGCTACTCTGTCCAGAACACAAAAAGGGGCACACTGTCACGAGGGGGGACACCAGAAAACACAGATCAAGAGGAAAGATTTAAAATCTGTTTTGCAGCAAAGTTACATCAAAAACAACAGGGTGCATGATTACAGCAATGCAGACACCAAGAATCTTACTTCTGTTTTTCAGAGACAGCTTCAAATCCAATCATCTCCACTGTCCTGGTAGAAATCTTGAGTTGCTCTCCAGTGATGGCATCCAAATCCACCTCATACCGCTGCCTCATTGCCACCAGGTAGGTAACACCAAAGCTGGCTTTTTGTGGACGGATGAAGGAGCCGCCAGTTGGATGTCTGTGGTACAAGTCAGTCAGTACAGGAGACACCACTGAGAAGTGTGAATAGTGAACCACATGAGCCCTGGGGTGCCTCAGTGACATAAAATGCACGCTTGTAGTTTTGGGTATGTCTTCATATCCCACATGTAACCTCCTACGCCCCATCCAACCTAGTCCAGCTTCTGCAGGTCATAACCAGTGGTCTGTTTGTAGATGCCCTGTGTCATTACCTGCATGTGAAATACTGAACTCCTTCATGTCTGCCATCGTGTTTTCCTCGTTCTGGGTTGTCCCACTCCACACCGAGCCACACACCTTCACACAGCCACATGCACAATAAGTAAAATGATCAGTCTCTGTCGACGGTGCCAAATACCGCACAATAGTGACGAACTAAAGAAATTAACTACATGAATGTAGTGATAACTAAACAGCGCAGTAGTTTCAGGTTACTACAAAACCTGTAAACCAAAGTTACTACTGGTGAGTCATCGCGCATCTTCGTAACCTAACCGACCTGTGGTGGGAGGCACGGCGCCCACATAGCGCACCGTACCCCGCTCCCCGTCGCAGGTGACCCTTTTCCTCTCCGCATCTGACGGGACAGACTCGACCATGTCCGGCGCCTCGGGATTAATGATTCTCATTTGAGTACCTGTGTCATGAGATTAGTTATTAAGCCGGAGTTTAGCGACAGTCGTAATACTTACATCAAAACGAACGTCACACATAAAAGGTTATTTTATTTTTACTAGCATCATTAAGAAAAACAAACTTAAGATGTACAATAATATGCAGTTACAGAAAATATTAATAACTCAAATGTACTGAAGACATCCTTTGACATCAAAGAGCCACTAAAATATTTTTAGTGAAGTCAATAACTGTTTTTCATGATGTCATGTGACCGAAAAAACGGAGATTAATATAGACAGATAAAATATATAGCTTATTTTTTCTGTTATCGTGAACATATTGATTAAACGCGTGGTTTACCTTAGTCAAGCCTTCTTTTCTTTATTCATACATAATTTCTAACATGAACAGTAAGACAGATGCAGGCTCTTCGCGAAAAAGTGACACAATCGCTGTGCGACGGCGCGTCAAAATTTCGTCACTGTAGCCGGAAGTGATAGTTGCTCAGTCGTAAAGGAGGAAATTGTGCACATGCCAGTTTTAAAACACGTGCAATGTTTATCTTGCTATTTATGGGGGTGTTGTGAAAATATATGCTGTTGCGATGCGACAGACTTTGAGAAGCAACCAAAAAAAGATAGATTTCTGGTGAAAATAAGCACACATACAGAAGCAGCCCAGTGTTTCTCTGTGCTTTTGCCTGTTGGTTAAGAGTAGTGAATACCATTAAAGTACATTTTAGGTTTGTACATTTGTAGTCTGTCATAACTTAAGTGTAAAAATGCCAGATGTTCCAGGATCATACTAAGGATTCTGTTCATTTATAATGAGAATGAAAAACAACCCATCTAAAATGGGCAATGCATGCTCTAATATACTTAGACCACTGGTTTTGAGCAGCGCATTTGTCTTTAGGGAATGCAGAGAATGTACATGATTTAAAGTGCAGGTTGGCGGATTTACGAAGCACAGCCGCCAACGCGGCAGTATTTTTTTAAATAATACTTCGCCTAAATGTCGTTCTTACATAAAAACCACACACCCACTTCCTATTCAGATGATAATCCATTCGCGCTATTCTCCACCAGGATTCCATGTGTGTGGAGTTTGCATGTTCTCCCCGTGTCATTGTGGGGTTTTCTCTGGGTACTCCGGTTCCCCCCCCCCCCGTCCAAAAACATGCTGAGGGTAATTGGAGTTACCAAATTGCCCGTGTATGTGAGTGTGCCCTGCGATGGGTTGACGCCCCATCCAGGATAGTTCCCTGCCTTGCACGCGTAGCTTCCGGGATGGGTTCCGGACCCCCGCTACCCTGAACAGCATAAGCGGTTTCATAAAATGGATGGATGTTTGGTTGCCATAACCGACGAGAAATGTCTGGTTACGTGCCTTTGCGAGGTCACCGATACGTACACATGTACTCCATTAAAGTTATTTTTATTACCGATTTTCAGTTATTATTAACACCGATGTACAAAGCGCGTTTTTCTTGCTTAGCAATTGAAGATGGTTGGTGCTATACATGGTTTGCCAGTAGGCGGCGCACTTCTCTACAGTTCAAATTAAATACTTATGGGGTTCGTGCAGAGGACGCGGAAACATGAACGGAGTCCCTGGCTGTCTACGGTGATTAAATAAATTGCTGGATTTATTGAAAGAGCGAGAGTGTATCCTTTTCTTTTGGGACAACATGAGAAAATGAAAGTCGTATGAATTGTGCTGGCTGAAATACCTCACCTTAGCACACAGGAGCGCGATAGCAGAGATCCTCGCGCTAAATAACCATCGTGCGTCATACACCTGGGAGATAATGGTAGCAAGTGAGGAGAATTAATCTTCGTATAAACACCTAGCGCTGTGAGGTATGAGGAGAACTGCTTTATGAACACAAGGCAGTACCACTGTTATTCTAATATGCTAGGAGTACAGGCTACAGGAATATGCAAAATATCATTAGCACATTAACATCGGGTAATATTTATACAACTCCAGTAATTAGCGCGCATCACTGGATGCTACAGCTATCAAACTGTTAGCGGTCTATTAAGATAGCACATGTTTGATTTTTTTTTTTAAATAGCACAGGTTACTTGCCCCCCCTCCCCCCCTTTCCGTCATGCCTTAACAAATAAATTATTAACCGTCTGGCAAGAGATCCACCTGTGCAGTAAGGGAACATTTAAAATCAATAAGCCCACACAATTAAATTATCTACATGGAAATCTGGAGAAGCTTTATATGTCTAACAATATAAATAATGAGAAGATCAATAGTGTTATAAAAGCGTAATGGAACATCTTAGTTACACGTTAACCGGGTACAGGCATCTTTATAAGGAGCTCCAGTAGGAATCCACATAACTGATTTTACACTGCAGATGTTTTTCGGGGTCATGCTGAGAGGGGCTGTGTCCCCCCCCCCCCAATCCCATTAGAAGTAGTGGGACTTCAAATGAACACGATGGCCCTTTGAAGCCAGAGCAGCCGTCACCCCCGACGGATTCCTACATTTTTACTCACATGTCAGCCGATATACCCGTAATTCCCCGTCAACTCAACCGAGCACAGACAGGATATTAAGACGGCACGGGGATGTCAGTTTTCGTTTCCGATTTATTCTTAGTCAGTTCCAATCCGTAACCAGGATAAATTAATGCATCTATCCTAAATGTTAAAATGTACAGTTATTTAAACAAAGGGTAACACGCAATCTTTTCTGCATACATAACTCCTGTGATGTTTCTGCTAAGCTGTATTGTGTTATAATATTCTCATAGTCATTAGTATAATCAATTCAGTACCCCCCCCCCCCCCCCGGAAATAATGTGTTTACTCCAGCGCTGTTACATTGAAACCTTTGCAGTCAAACGTGGAAGGAAATGTTCTACCGTCAAGCTCACCGGGTACATGATGGTTTCCCAAAAGCGCACATGCTGCATAAGCGTAGATTTCCTAATGACCGGCAGCTAAAGGTGCGGAACCGCTCCCGGGACTGGGGAACGATCCTTTCAGCCGGAGCCAGCTGGCGGAAACGACATCAAAAACAACAGGGCAAGCAGGCCACGGGTGGCACGGAAAAGGACCGATTCCTTCAAGTGTGTCAGTTCTCCGCAATTAACACACGGTCCCTTCAAGAAAGTCCAGTGAGCGCTTGGAGTTCACGATATAAACCGCACTCTAGTTTTTTTTTTTTTTTCATTTCTCACGAATGAATAAGTGTTTTAAAACGTTTTAGTAAAAGCCACAACCATTACCCCCCCCCCCCATTCATATTCTCAAAAATCACGCAAAGCATTGGTCAAACGCGCGTCTTACCTTGCAGACAGACTGCAATAACACAATGCCTCACCCGTCCTTGTTGCAATCCTCTATATCCCAGTACAAAAATCATAAGATGGAAAGAGTTTGCGATGTAAAATATAATGCTGGATTTTAATAATACAGTAATAATGATGACAAGAAAGCCTGAGGCAAGTTCACACAATGATATAATTAATACTCCAACCATGTAAGAACAAGCAAACTTAATGCCCTTCCATTACACACTGTAGGTCCAAAAGCACAATTACATACAACTGTGTGCTTGCTTTTAGATAAAATAATCTCCTGCAGGCCAGTATAAAAGTAGTGAGGTTCACTTTACTGTATCTGTCAGAGCAATTTGTATATATTTAACCTATGAGACCGAATACAAAAAAATGCATCTCAAGAACAACACAGCACAACTAAAATAGCTAAATATTTTATTTTGATAAAAAAAGTAAGGCTTTATTGTGTATGTCCTTTAACACCATAAATGGTAGAAAATGGCTGGATGATGATCCCTGACACAATATTCTGGGAAGCATTTGAGCAGTGGAACCATTGCAGAGTTCGGGAATCAGCAGGGTGAGGTGGTGTTTAGTGAGGGCTGGGAGATTGCCCCCCCCCCACCACTCAATCCTTGTATAACAGGCTGAGCTGCTCCACCAGGCTCTCCAGTTCCGGGTTACCCCCCATCTCCCGGATCAGCCTGTAGGCCTCGTCCTCCAGCTCCTTGAGAGTCTCCCGTGTGTAGGCGAAGGAGCCCACCTTCTCCAGGTAGTCCACGCAGTAGCGCTTGACGTCCACGTTCTCGGTGCGTTGTCGCAGGATGTTCTGCACCTGCGTGCTGTCCGGCTGCGACCAGATGGCGTGGATAGTGGGGAAGGAGAACTTGCCCTCGGTGAGGTCCTCACAGAAGCTTTTGTTCTCGCTGTACTCCTTGGACTTCAGGTTGGCGTAGTCATCGCGGATCTGGAAGAAGAGGCCTAGAATGTCAAGCAGCGGCTTCAGGTCCCGCTTGCAATTGGAGAAGAGCTGCATGAGGCCCACAGCCAGGCCGAAGAGGCCGCCCGTCTTCTTCAGCACCATGCTGCGGTACTCCTGCTCGCTGGGGCATGTGTAGGTGTCCCGCCAGTGGATGTCCAGGCCCTGGCCGCGGTGCAGCTCCAGCAGCTGCCGGGTGAAGACATTCACGGCCTCCGGGTGCTGCAGGGTCAGTACCTTTTCCAGGCCCAGGAAGTATACGTAGTTGGCCGAGTTGATGACCGAGGCCACTCCGTAGATGCTGTGGGCTACGGGGAAGCCACGTCTCAGCTTGGAGCTGTCCTCGATGTCGTCGATCAGCAGGCTGGCATTATGGAGCATCTCTGTTACCTCGATGATCACCTGCGGACAGAGAGGGGCACACAACGTCAGACCATGGAAGAGCGTGAGACTTCCTGCTTCACTACATGTTATAGTATCTCTCCTAGTATGAGAGAAACTGAGGAACCGTAACAAAATTCCAATGGGCAGGAAACTCGGTCGACAACAACAAGTCACCATGCACAACCAGACCTGCTCAGTACTGCTGCTGGCGCCCCCTAGTGTCGCCAGCAGGTGTGTCACCTGCCATGTGTTTCTCGCGTCACATCACTTCTGTCGGGGAGGAGGCAGAGGCTGAGGTCAGTGCGGTGTCCTTTCATCTGGGTGGTACTGCGAGCAGATGGCGCCGGTGAGACGCGGGGCCCCGGGACACCGTGAGCCGCGAGATTAATGAACGGTGACATAGAGAGGAGCGTGGGGACGTGGCCACACCTGACCGGACGCTGCACACGGCCCGTGGATGGCAGCCAGCGAATGATCCCATCCATGCACCCGCCCCGCCCAATCCCGGAAGGACCGGCCCTCGTCCCACAGGCAGCCCGCCTCCTCGGACCTCGGGACCCTGGTTCTCTGAGGTCGTGGACCCCACGAGGCAAACACAGATGAGCATGGGGGCTATGGTAGCGGCACAAGCAGCCAGAGGCGGGATTCAGACACCTGATACATGCACCCCCTTATGCACACACCCACCCACATGCTCTGCTCAGGGTGACTGTCCACATCGCTCGCAAAAATCACCACCATGTCATGTTACGAAACTGGTCTCCTGTCCAGTGGGACATTAATAATAAACCCTGGGCTGGTTACTGGGTTCT